GATAATATGGTTATTTCTCGATTACTTTTTCAAAGGGAAGCACCAGCTCCTGCAAACAATGCATCCGATCGTCGATCCGGCGCAACCGGCAGCTCGCACACGCTTATCAACACCACCAGCAGGTAGAGGAAAATTTCCCCTATCTGATGATAGTGCCAGCCCGCGTGGGCGAGCCACCAGTTAAGCCAAATCAACGACCAAACGCACCGCCTACAAAAGCCAATACGCTCCCTTGAAAAAGTTATCGAGATTTCTACTAATTAATGAATTATTGACAATTACCTCTCATGATCCTTGGCTCTGATTTTAACTTACCACTTTTTGATTATTTATCAAATACCTCTCCCAGAATATATAACTCCCCGATGCCTTGTTGGTTTCTGGTCTCATTTGGATTGGTCCTGAATTTGTTTGACATCCTGTTCGAAGTAATTCTTTGAGTTCCAGCTTGTACGTGTCTCACGTCATATGATTCGCCATTCATAAAGATAATGGGTTAAAAGGGAGTAAAACATACATAAAGGTAGATTAGTATTAGTTGTACTTGATCCAAACAATAGAAAGAAACATAGATGACTTAGTAGAAAAATAAAACTATTATATAACTAAAAGTGCAATGGATAAGTGTTAGTTCCGGGATCATTTTAGTGTTAGTAGTTATGTTAGTTTTGATCCGTATTCAGCCCTGCCCTCCAGCACTATTTGCAGCAATTGTGATAAGATTATGCAACACTGCTACTACTACTATGTTAGATGTATGACTTGTCAATTTTCGCAACGCAATGTCTTTCAATAAATCACTCAATCAATTTGATGTTTGAAAATTTGCTCAAAAAGGCTTTGTTGACACATCATACCTTACCGAAAACTAAAGCACAACAATCCTAATTCTTATTTCAAACCTATCAACATATTTAACACATCTTTCCTAAAATTTCACTTGTTCGTAAGCGCTTGGTTGAAGATATGACTTTCGCTATTGACATTGTCTGTAATTAACAAATACACTAAATAGGAAGATTTATTATACAACTTCATAGGCTAGTCGCCTCCCTAAGCGGACCCCCCGCGTCCTATCTCTTATGTTAATTAACTTTCTGAATTCTATAATTGAAGTTTATTTAATAAATAACTGAAATCTCTAATCTACCTACACAATCATAACCCATGCTTTTAAACTACAATTTAACGTGTTTCAAGTACTTCTGGCTTTTACATATATTAATTATATCTTTGTTCGTCCCAGATGACACCTTCAAGTGACTCAAATGCTTCACTTTGAAGTTAGTTTCCAAGCTAATTTTAAATTGTATATTGTATAGGGTAAATGTTCCAACTACGCTCTCACGTTTCCACTATGTGGCACCACAAAAATACATATGGGTATGTCACAATAGAAGCACACCACAGTGGAAATCCCGAGCCATAGTTCAAACACCTATCCCAAATCAAAATGAAGCACATATAAGATTAGTTACAATACCATGTACCAAAATGGTGTTTAACATTGTTCCCTGAGTAATACCTCAATGAAAACAACAATGAAAGTTTGTCACGCAAATAGAAGGAGCACCGATGGGCACTTTCTGAAATACTTCAATAGTATAATTCCCTTGCAAACCCACATAAATCTATCGTAAAAAATAAATAAAATAAGAGTGATTTGCGGCAAAACCCGCCAGTATCACACCCAACGTCAGTGCCTATACGTAAGCGTACTACGACGCGGCTCTCAATAAAAGGAGTAACAAGTGTGATACTATCACTGCTAGACTAGATCTTTGGTTCTCTCATGCAGTGGTTTATCAGAGAGGGGAAGCTTAGTAATCCCCATTGCCTGCCCATGACGCCATTCTATCGCGGCATGAGCCAGCAACGCTGACCATAAACCCACCGTCTCCAACACTCCACTAGCATGAAATTAAGCCCGCCCACCAACAGCAAGGTGCAAAAACTAGCCAAGGGGAGGGCTCCTTGATTTTTTTTAATTGCCTTTTAATTATATCATCTGTTTTGATGTTCTTAGAGCTCCCTTAAAGCTCTCAATTCTAATGAAGATCTCGGTTCTGCTTTAAAATAAATGGAATTCTCGTAAACAACCTGAAATTCTCTGGATTTTTGTGAAGTTCCTGAAATATTTATGAAGTTTTCATAAATTTTCTGAAGGTACTCTGTACTTCCCTGTAATTCTCGAAACATCTAAAGGGTTCTTGATTTTATTTCAGCACATCATGGAACTATCCTGAATTTGTCTAAACTTACGCTTATAGATTTTGAAACCAATCCATTAGTCTGGACTTAAGTTTCGGGGACTTCTCCTTAAGATCTCTGAAATTCCCCAAAGATATCTAGATCTAGTTTTTGTGAGATAAATAGAATTTCTTAAAAGTTTCCAAAATGTTGCTAGTACGAAACTTCAAGACATTAAAAGTGTTGTGATCTTAGACTTACTAAAATTAAGTAAAGCTGTTTCTTTAAAACTGATTGTCTTGTCTTAAAAACATTTGCGTTAATTTCTGTTGTTGTTTCGCAAAAAAAAAACATATTTTTAACGCATTTATAAAAAGCTTTCTTATTATAAACCTGGAAATTATCCGCCAAAGTTATGGAAAACCCTGAACAACTCAGGTAACTTTATTTAGCCAAATGGGTGGACACCCTGTAAATAGAAAAATACTATTAAACTTAAAAAAAAACTCTATACAAGGTCGCCAACTTCGAGTTGTTCAAAAATTAGAACACAATGTAGGCCTATCCTATGCACTGCAAGAAGAATGATCAAACTTGAAATAAATTTACGTTAAAAAAAGTTTAAAATAGTGACTGATTACAAGAAAAAGTGACTAAGGCCTTAAAAAAGAGACTTTTTAGTGACTGGCTTGAAAAAAGTGACCAAGTCACTAAAAAGTGACTCACTACCAGCCCTGCAATAAGGGCCCAGAAATAGTTGAGAAATAATATAAAAATCAATACAAAATTGCGTACACGGTCAAATCGCTTAATTTAACAATACAATAAAGTTGTGCACAACTTAATGAAAGGGGTCAACCATAAAGTTCGTGAATTTGTATTTGGTAATAAAACAGGAAAAAAGGTTATTTTCCATTTAAATCCACTTAATTTTGGTATCCTTGAGAGATACGTATTTCGACTACAATGTGCAGTGTTCATCAGTGTAATTTCCACTAAAGACTTATCAAAATCTGACCCCCTTAAGTACTCATTAATCAAGTGGAATTAAATGGAAGACAACCCAAAGGGTGATACGGTCAAAATTTGGTCAATATCAACTTGACGTATTTCTTTCAATTTTGCATTTAAAAAACCTGAACACCCCTCATTTTGAAGGTGTGTGTGTGTAGAATGTTGCTCCTATTTTGATTTTGGAATTCACTCTTCAGTTGTCAAAATGCCGTCCTAGCAAGAAGAGCAGCGTATCAAAATTTTGCTCGCGCATCGCGAAAATCCGAGCTACTCGCACGCAAAGTTGGCAAAATCGCTAAAAGTTGCCAAATCAACCGTTACAAATGTAATTAAAGTGTTTGGGGAACGTTTGTCGACAGCCAGGAAGTCTGGATCGGGGGGAAATCGAAAACCGGAAGCCGCTGAGACGACAAAGAGAGTTGCCGGTAGTTTCAAGCGAAACCCTAACATCGCTCTCCGAGATGCCGCAAATAAGCTGGGTGTATCGTCTACAACCGTGCATCGAGCCAAAAAACGAGCCGGACTATCGACTTACAAGAAGGTAGTGACTCCAAATCGCGATGATAAACAAAATACGACGGCCAAAGCGCGATCCCGGAGGCTGTACACGACGATGCTGACGAAGTTTGACTGCGTGGTAATGGACGACGAAACCTACGTCAAAGCCGACTACAAGCAGCTTCCGGGACAGGAGTTTTATACGGCAAAAGGAAGGGGAAAGGTAGCAGATGTTTTCAAGCACATGAAACTGTCAAAGTTCGCAAAGAAATATCTGGTTTGGCAAGCCATCTGTACCTGTGGCTTGAAAAGCAGCATTTTCATAGCTTCCGGGACTGTCAACCAAGAAATTTACGTGAAAGAGTGTTTGAATAAACGTCTGCTGCCTTTCCTGAAGAAACACGGTTGTTCCGTACTGTTTTGGCCGGATTTGGCATCTTGCCATTACGGTAAAAAAGCCATGGAGTGGTACGCCGCCAACAACGTGCAGGTGGTTCCCAAGGACAAGAACCCTCCCAACACGCCAGAGCTCCGCCCAATTGAGAAATACTGGGCTATTGTCAAGCGGAACCTAAAGAAGACCAAAAAAACTGCTAAGGGCGAGCAGCAGTTCAAGGCAAACTGGCTTTCTGCGGCGAAGAAGGTGGACAAGGTGGCTGTACAAAATCTGATGGCAGGGGTCAAGCGTAAGGCCCGGCAATTCGGATTTGGAAAAGCGGAAGCCTAACTGAATATTTTTCCTGAATTTTATACTAATTGAACTTGAAAAAGAAATTTAATTTGATTTTTTAAATAAACGATTTCACCGATTTACACGCGTTTTCCCTTGACCAAATTTTGACCGTATCACCCTTTATTTGCTGTTTTATTTAAGCATTCCGCTAACAGCCCAATTTCATTACTTCATTATGATGACTACTTTTTGCTCGTTCCATCCTGTATTAAACATTATATAAGGTCCGTCACTTCAATGCTCATCGAAGTCAGTTTAATTCTACACAGACTTTTCTGTTTCATGTTAATGAAATGGCGTCACTTATTTTGCGGTGAAATCATGGAAACGCACTAAAATTGCGGCTAGTCACATTGATGGGGAATTGATGCTGACATTAGGTGGCTAGTGAAATTTAGCATTTTGCAGGTATTGAAATTAATACGTTGTAACACTGAAGATGTGTATTCTTTGGTTGAGTAAACGTTGTTTGTTATGAAGGTTGAACTCAAACTATAGACTCTGAAAAAATCCCCTTAATTATGCATTGTTGCATCGAAATCTAATGAGCCGCTTTCTTTCGTAGGAAATCTCGCACAATCAAATGAGAACATACCTCGATCGGAATCGTTCCATGATGATAACAGGTAATTGATTTGACTTGCAGTTTGTTCAACTCTCGTTGTAGTGATGTACCATTTCTACGGTTCTGTAGGTTCCAGTACGTCCTGGCAGCGGCTACCTCTATTGCCACCAAGAACAATGAAGAATCTCTCACCTACCTGAATCAGGGACAGAGCTACGAGATTAAGTTAAAGAAACTGGGTGATCTGTCGCCTTTCAGGGGGAAGATATTGAAGAGCGTCATCAAGATTTGCTTCCACGAGCGACGCCTACAGTACATGGAACGCGAACAGATGCAACTGTGGCAGGCGTCGCGACCCGGGGAAAGAATTTTAGATGTAAGTATGGTTTGATTGACCGGTAGGTCTGAACTAATGCTCATTTTCATCCCTTGCAGGTTGATATTCCACTTTCGTATGGATTGATTCAGGTGCAACCGAATAATAGCAGTCTTCTGAATACGATTGAGGTTTTCTGGGACCCTATGAAGGAGGTCGGCGTGTACATCAAGGTGAATTGTATCTCAACCGAGTTTACGCCGAAGAAGCACGGTGGCGAAAAAGGAGTTCCATTTCGCATACAGGTGGAAACCTTCCTAGACAGTTCGGTGAACGACAGTAGTGGCACCGGTTCAAATGGTATGGACAGCACGGCGCGGCCACTGCACGCGGCAGCGTGTCAAATTAAGGTTAATTACATTTCTATGAAGGACTGCTCTTTGCCTCAGGATAAAGAGCCGCAATTTCTTTGTTGCTTACACCAAGATATGGTTCTCTTAAATTATTCCATAAGGTTTTCAAACTGAAAGGAGCTGACCGAAAGCATAAGCAGGACCGAGAAAAGATCTTGAAGCGGCCGACTGCCGAACAGGAAAAGTTCCAACGGAGTTGTGAGTGCACAATTTTGTCCGATATCACGACGGAATCGATGATAACTCCACTTGTCGGTGGATTCAGTCCGGAGAAGTAAGTATCTTGTAGGATTTCCTAATGATGTTCGATTTCACAATATGGATTTTGTTTAGTATCAAGCGCAATATATCACCGCTTCTGGGAGCACCAACTTCGCCGGTACATATTAACAAATTTGAAAACATCATGTCCTCGTTCTGTAATGGGCCGGTTAATTCGGCGAGCAAGCAGGCAGCAATGGTCGCTGCAGTGGCAGCAGCTGTCAGTAGTAATCCTATCGCGATTGGCAACGTATCTTCTACCAATGGCCTTTGTAAGTTGATGGATCAGAATGTGCTTTCTCCACCGCAGGCCAGCATCGATTTGGATGATTACGTGCCAAACATTTCGAAGGATTCCAATCCGATAGCGTTGGCTCAGTGGTTGAGCTATCATCGGTTGGGCACGTATGCGAAAACCTTTTCGCAGTTCTCGGGGTCCGATTTGTTGAGGTATTGTTTGTTCAGCTAAATGGTTTCGTCTATACATTCTATATGGTATGTTTTGTTCTTTGCAGAATGTCAAAGGATGATTTGTGTAAAATATGCGGCCTAGCCGATGGCATACGCATGTTCAACATCCTCCATTCAAAGTAAGTAGAATGAAATTAATTTCCATGGCATTGGAAGCAAATGTTTTTTTTTCACTTTCAGGGCAATCACCCCTCGACTCACACTCTACGTATGCTTCGAGGGCAGCACGTATCACGCCGTCTACCTACACTCCAACACAATACCAGAGTTGGTACAGAATTTGCAGAAAATTCCCGGATTCCTCGATGCCGTACATTGTTCCAACTCTTCCGAAAATTGCAACCCGTGGGCTTCTAACTACCAGCGTGCCTTGAAAAATGCCGTCAATGGAGCCTCCGGTGTAAACAAATATTCAAATGTTTCCACAACTGACGTCCACACGTCAGTTCCATCACCTTCCTCTCCGATTTCTTCGTCGTCACTTCCTCCAAGGCCAAACCTGTTGATCAACGGGCCGAATGGAGTCAATGTCCTGTTAACCGAAGACGTACTAAACAATATCCGAGATGAGAGTTTGTTCCAACTCGAAGTGAAACCAAACGGAAACGTTCTTATGAAGGCGGTTCCAGCTGCAGGCAGCGTTACTCCTGGAAGTACGGGAGAGAATGAAATGAATTGAAAGATTTTTGTGAAATGCTCAACCGTTCTCTCTTGCAGATGGATGTTTTTATGAATCGTACTTTATTTTACTAGTAACTGTTACCATTTGTTGTTTGATGTTCGGTGTTGGATATACTTTTTTGCTAAGAATATTTTACGAGAATCCATATGATGGATTAAGTTAAACATACTTCGTTATATAAATTTTAAAGTGTTAAATGTTCAAGATTATATAAATCCACTCTTATTGTTTCATCTGCAGCCTTTGATAACTGCGTGCTGAATAGTCTAATAAAAAGCATTCATTGGAGGTTTAGACATATGAAAAATGTTTATTCAACCGGACGAAACGCACATATTCAAAAACGATCAAAAGTAGGTGGTTCAACTGAAACTATAGTTGCATTTTGATGCGGAACCGGATAAATCAGGCTTCTTTGCGCTCAGTTTTTATAAAGCTGGTATTTTTTTTTATTTCAATTCTGGAAAGGTCTCTCAACAACCTCCAAAATCATTACGAGCACGAGAGGCCGGGATTCGCATTAGAATGGTATAATTAAAATAAAAAAAAATCGTTGTAAAGTAAACTTCTCATTTCCAATTATAAGTTGGCCGCAAACTTTCTCATTGAGACAAACACAATAATTGGGTTTTGAAAACCTAACTCTACCTTCCCCACAACAATCAGGTATTGTAGCCATATAAAACAATGTTGCATTTGTGATGCAAGAAGAGAACGTGCCGTGTTAATCAGGTTAATCATAGCCATAGGAGATTTTTTACTAGTACAAATAAAAACTGGACCTTTTCTTGTAAGTAAGGCGCATGCAGCACTGCTGTGAAACTGTATGATGTGAAAAAAAATCAATGCTCCTTAATCGCCGGAACATAAATGTGCCTTACCAATGTAGCTGTGAATACAGAGTAACGGAATCATCACATTTTAGAGCAATTGTGCACATAACAAAAGTTTAAATAAAATACACAAAATATATACAAAAACAAACCAGAAACAACTTGCAGTTTGCAGTTTGAGATGTGGAATTTGTTACTATAGTGAAAACTCATACCGGTTCTTCGTAATGTTGCATGTGATTATCATTATTAACTTTTTCTCTCCGAACTCAAAGGCCTCGTGCTTCGGGAAAAAGAAATGTGACACAAGGCGCGGCCGTAGCAGGACCAATTTTATGACGCTACGGGTTTTGTTTTTTTTTTTCGTTTTACCTTCAAATAAAATACACTATATTTTCTACATCTAGGATCTTTAGATGAAATGTATGTTATCTCAAATAAAGTTGTAGTTAGTTGTGATATGCATTCTTTTAATTAATTTACTGTGAAAGAAGTCACCGGAATTGAACACATTTGCCCACACGTATTTAACCCTCTTCTTCCCCTGGTGATCCATAATGTTCCGTTCCGTCTCATGTTTATCAATCTCAGAAAGGAAAAAGTCCATTTAGACTTATTTGTATGCAAAGGATGAAAAAAGTGGGATAGTATTGGCTTGTGTATATAGAGTTTACACTTGCTACACACTAAGAATTCGGTGTAATTTTTTACCGAATTTTCATCAGCTGAACGTCCGGAAAAAATCAGACATTTAATCAATTAGTTTTAAGGTTTCAGAACAAGTAAAACTTCACAACAATGGCAAGACTCGATTATTTAAACAAGGCTGACAGTGTTTTGAAAAAAAAATAGGGTCAAAGTATATTTTTAGTATAAAGTATCAAGTATGTAGACCCTCTAAAATTATATTGCAAGAGAGCTTAAAAGTGAAGCAAAGCGTTAAATCAGACTTTATATCCCCAAAACATAGAACATTTTGCCACACATTGTGATTATATAGTGCCATCACCATTCATCATTTAATAAAGTGAAGCCTAAGAGGCTACCCTAAAGGTAACTTTGCGCAGTTCTAGAGGTACTGACAAGCGTATTCATTATCACCTGACAACAGTATTCAGTATCACCTGAAGAACCTTCAGGCGACTGTTTTTATTTTGGACTCTATCAGGCACCGTCACCGCTGATAACACCTACAGCGCTCCCAGTACCACGAGCAAGATCATCGGTGTTTGAGGCGTCGTTACGTAACGGTGTCATTATCTGCACCGTCATAGTTGCAATACCAAACACACTATACTCCCAGACCAGCGTGTGCCACGTGGTTGCTCCAAGTGGTTCCTTAGCGGCGACAAAGTCGAACCAGGCCCACGTGTGGATACTTGGTGTGGGCACACGAGCGAGAGTATCGGCGTTTGAGGCGTCGACACACAACGGGGCACAATGGGGCATGAAGTAGTTCGCCTCCTCGTGGTGTGCCCTGGAAACGTTAATTATCGAACCCAAGGGAGAGTTATTGCGGCTAAACGAACTACAGCAGAGTAAGGACGCTGGAGCCCCATCCAGCTCGTCCGTGGACAGTTGGCTGACTATCACGTCTGCTCTAGAACTCATGCGAACAATTAAAAGCGGACAATAAGAGGAAGACCCTGCATAGCGCAACCGGCTCCCTCCCATGATGTAATGCTTTCGGGCGGTTCCGGGGAGGGCAAGGGCCAAGAGCACAGCGTAAGGTTTAGTGGGTCGGGAGCGCTACTTCTCCCTGGGGGGGACGTGGTGTCAAATCAGTCTACTGATCATTCTTGTATGAAACTGGTTCCAAACGTAAACAAACGCTGTGGGTTTCTTATGGCTTGTTTACGTTTGGAACCAGTTATGCGAGGTAGGCGACGATTGTTCGCATTTGACAGCAACCTCCCCCCCTTGACTTCTCCCATCCCCACACCCTGAGTTATCTTCTCAGGTGTCTGGAAGCAGATTCCCCCATGTATAAAAAAAACACAACGGTGTCCAGAAGAATAACTACGTCAGAACAAAAATCCAGTTTAGATCAAACCAGTTTGTTAAAGAGAATAACGTGCACGTTTAAGGCGATAGGACAAAACCATTACAATAAACAGTCTGCAATTAAGTCTTTTACATACGTTTTTTATCGACCGCTGGGTTCATCACTGAGAGATTTAACTAAAATCAGAAATTTTCGGTTTCGTTTGAGTTTTGGTAGTTCTTACCTGCCCTTCCCTGAGAGGACTAGTTGGGCACCGGAATTGAACACGTTCTTTCACAGTATGGCGCTTAAGCGAAAGGGTTTCCGAAAGGGTAGTTCATTGAGGAGTTTGCCGATTCTGCGGACATAGTTTGAAAGACTCAGCTGCTAAAAAAGTCTATGGTTTAGTAAATTTATCTACTGTTTTTTCTAGTATTGTCGCACTGCAATCTACTGAACTGTTACAATGAATAATAGCACTAAAATTTATGCAGCATAATAGTAGGGGAAAGTGTGGAAATATGGCACACGCTTAAAAATCAACTTATGGATCATATTTTACAAAAAATCTGTTGCAGGCTTAATGCTTGAAGCCTACTTCAACTATCGATTTTATTGAAGTCTATAAAACACTTTTCTCTAGAGCAAATATTCGAAAAATGTTAGACTAGCTCAATATGTTAAAATTGTTATAAGATGTCAGAATCAGAAAATAAGGTCTATCAGTAGTTTCTGATACCTTATCGTTGATATTCCTTCAGCAGCTTTGTAAATGGTTGGTCTTATATGACACGATGTTTTTTCTAGATTTTAATAAAGATCAAAGATTTTCCTAAGAATATATTGCTCGCTTCTGAAATTAAATTTATTATACAACTTATATTGTTTCTGTTAAATATTTTTATGCTAAAACCACTTTTATTTGCTCACTAAGCATATCGAAAATGAATGCTTCATCTAGTAAATTGATTTACTGAAATTATTATTCGCTTTTAATAAATTTAGCCAATTTAGATATTGAAGATATCTGGACACACAAAGAAAAATCGTTGTTAAAATAAAAAAATAGCATCGGTGAAATTAACAGTTTGTGTTGGTTCTTTTTGATAGAATGCGGATAGCTTTCAAAATGAAAGTCATCCAACTGTCAAATCAAAAGTTTCCCAATCATTACTTTTAAAAGTTAAAGGTTTTAAAATAAATTGTACTACTGTCAAATGAAAAGTATGACAGTGTTGAAATTAAAAGTGAATAACTTTTGATTCTAAAATAGAATTTGAGGTTAAAGTCTGGTATAGTTAAAATAGTCGTTTGATAATTGAATGAGGAACATATTTTTAATTTAAATATAAAAGTTTTCAATTTTTTTCATTCTTTTGAACATCAAATTAAAAGTTTTTATTATTCGAAAGAAAGAATCGAAAGTATCTTTATTATTTAGTATTTCTCGTTTTTTGATCGAATCACTGAACAAACTGTTTAGAACCTCCAAACCCAGATTGTGCAGGTACAGGCGGTGAAGACTTCGGTTCGAGATCGTGGACTGGTTTAATCACTTGCATCCGAGCACGAACCTCCAAGTCTCCAAGAATCGGCCACAATCACCAGGTTCAAGGATGGAAACACTATGAAAGGACAGTTAGAGAAAAGTCATTAGGGCAAACAGTGTCATTTGAGTATAAATAAGTTGTTTATACCTACCATAATCATTAAACGGAATGATTCCCTGTGGTCGCCATCAGTTCCAATTCGTGAATGCTCCGGATAGACTTGGTTGTCTGTTGTACCACCACTTTCAGTTCAGGGCCAGCCAGTGGCAAATACAATGTCGCTCGACTGAGTCATGATTTTTCCGGTGCTCCCGGAATCCCCTTATTATTATTAAAACCTTTCATTGGGCATGCCGCTAAATTGAATGACTTTAACCTAATGATTTCCTCCTTCTACTTCTACAGCAGAGAGGCAAAAAGGAACTTTTTCAAGAGGATTCCATCGTCCGGCGAAGGATTCCACACTACATGAGTTCGGAAATATGCGGAATTCCTTTTTCTAACAATAAAGGCCGGATCGGGACACTTTTCGGGATAATTATCCCTTATCAACAAATAGTAGAAAATTTTGCCATTTGCACCATCTGCTTTTTTCTACACTCACGTCATTATTAATCTACCTAGAAATGTGTAGAAATCTCTCCACGAAGAAGGTGTTTTGACCCAAGTTTTGACAGTTCCACAATTTTCGATTTGAAAATTTACACTTTTAAAACTACAAGTTAAAATCAAAATATGTACTTTTGGTTTGAAAAAAAAACCTTGTTGTATTAAATATTTTCTTAGTTAGAATAAAGGCCCAAGCGCGATGACAGCGGCAGCGAAAAAACCCTATTTGAGTAAGGCTGCTTGTCTGATTGAAAATTAGCTAAAACCAAATCGACTTCGGTTAGGCATCTTGATGTCGTTTGTGACAACTGTCAAACTTTCCGTTTCCGCCCACATTACGTTTGGACCTTAACTCATTTTTGAATACTTTTAAATTGAAAGTTCAATACTTTTACCACAGACAAACAGACATAACACATTGAATATTTCTCACTGTAAAACATAGTCACTAAAACATTATCGCTATCTGTTGAGTACACTGTGGTGGGTAGTACGCTGAATAGATGGCGTTAGTGTGTAAACGTCAAACGCAAGGGAACTGACTATGCGCGCCACAGGTAGCGATACTACCAACTACGATACTTTTAAATTGGACGTTAAATGCTTGTTCGATGAACAACTTGCGAGCGCTATGTCTGTTTGTCTGTGCTTTTACTTATACAATTAACGTTTTTTTTTGTATGTGCTTCAAATATCAGCCAGAATCAAATTTGTTAGAAGCAGCGCTTCAAATGATTGCCCAAGAAGACGCCACAAACATTTCAAAAATTAAAGTTGATATGGACAGTCTGGTTAGTTTTTTCAGTCTGGTAGTAGGGTAGAGAACTACTTCGGCCTAATCGCCCATTTTGGGCCTATCGATCAGAAAACTTCAAATAAATCCATGATTCCAGAGTTAACAAGTCAGTTATGCGTTTGGTACGATACTTTAGTTAATAAGCTTCCGAACGAAGTCAATGAGAACGCGTGATATGAATGTTTGCACCCATTATTCCCAAAAACAAGAGAAGCGCTCCGACCGAATCAATTTTTATCTTCATCCGATAGGCCGAAGTGAATTCATTGGCGTTTCAATGCGTTAGGCCGAGTTTAGAATCCGTAGGCGAAGTTTGGCATCAAGAAGCAGTGTTAGACTTCTGACAATATCTAAACGATTGGTTTCTCTTTATCAAATATTACGGTATCCAACAGCCGATTACCTCGGCATTTACTTTTGCTGATATATCTGCAAAATATCTGTTTGTTAGCTGATATCTTAGCAAAATTATATTTCAGGCGAAACGTTTGATAACGGCCATTACAAGCGAACCGAAGAA